TCAGACAATGTTGCTTTGGATTCTACCTTTATGGCATTCTGGAAATGAAATTCTGGAAACATGAAAAGATCAGTGATTGTTAGAACATTTAGTGAGGAGGTGAGAATTGAGTAGATGAACAGTGTTTGTTTTTTTCAATGGTAGTGAAACAATGGCCTGTAGTCCTACAGTGGACAGCTGATGTTATACATATGTCAAAAGTCATAAAAATTAACAGCACAAAGGTTGAACCTAAAATGTGCTGTTTTAAAAATTAACAGCACTAAGGTTGAACTTAAAGCAGATTTTGACGAGTTAGTATAATTTAAAAAATACCACTGATATTAAAATAAAATAGTATATAATAAAACAGTATAAAATAAAAATACCACTGATTGTGAGTTGGGGCCAGGGAAAGCCTTTGTCAAAGGAATTTTAGAAATGAGTGAAGCAAATAAACAAGACATTTTTACTGCACTCTAATTGATAAAGTTGTTTCTCATCTGATAGTGTTAAATAGGTATACTAGCACTGAGCTGCTAAACTGAATTAAAAAATAGTGTGATCTTGGCTTCTTAGTGTATAGGGGAAGTTTACAGCAAAACAAAAATGCTAATATAATCCATGTGGAAACTTGTTAAATTGGAGACATAGTAAGAATGCATGTTCAGTTCATTATGCATGGAAATATTACACATAGCAATATCTGTAGAGATGTGTACATATACAGGTTAGTATATGTTCTTAAATTTATCCATTAAGAGGGCTTAGAAGCAATATTACTTCAATAACAACAAGCACATCTACCTTCCAGACCTTAGTTTCTAATTTCATTTGCAGTGAAATGTTTCCAAAGCTCTTTGGACAAAAACTGATTCTAGGGTTGGAGAAGAAAACAAGACGAACCTGAAACATCTTATAACAGCAGTAAGAAACACAGAGCTAAAACAACATCAAAACACATCCATTCACTGAAGGTCATGTCAAAGGAGCACAGGAGTGAAAGAAAAGAGCTCCCAATGATCAAAGCTGGAAGAATTTAAACATCGGATTAGTATTGAACTAAAACACAATGTGAAATATAAATATCCATGTGTCCATGTTAATATGAATAAGTAACAGAATACATAAATGGTGGAAAAGAGATGGATATGCCTTGAAAAAAATCAAATAAATTATGGAATTGTTCTGTTTTCAAGGCATAGGTACTCATTCTTTAAAGGTAGGCAGTATATAATGACTTCCTTCCAAAGCTTTCAATATAAGAATAAGGGAAAAGAAATAATCACCTTACTGGAGACCCTTGACAAATACTCCCTCAGCCAGGTGATCATTAATATTTTATAAGTTAAGCAAATGCTGTGTATAATTCCTATAATGTATAGAAGTTTCTTTTTGATCTATCTTAAAAAAAAAAAAAGGAAATTATTAACTCTCATTTTTCTTCCCCAAAACTCATACACCATTCTAACACTGAAAGAAACTCCAGACAAATTCTAATTGAGATTGAGAGACATTTCACAAAATACTTGATCGGTATTTTTTTTTTAAACTGTCAAAAGTTATCAAAAAAAAAAAAACTGACTCTGTTACAACTAACAGAAATCTAAGGAAACAATAAAGCTGACTTTAATATGATGTTGTGGATGGAAACATGGGACATAAATAGACATTAGTTTAAAAACTAAAGAAAATCCAAATAAACAAAGATATCTAATTAGTGATAAAGGATCAGTATCTGTTCATTAATTGTGAAAATTTATCTTACTAACATACAATATAAATAAGATGAGAAATGACTGAGAACTCTATACTATTTTTAACTTACTCCATAAATCTAGAACAGGTCTAGAAACATGTCTAAAAGGTTAAAAATATACTCACAAATGAAAATAATACAAATTATGATCTTTTAAATGTTTCAATTTTTGATAAATTTTCCTAATTAAAAATACTTTTATATAGTATGAATGACTTTTTAACTACTGAAGGAAAACAAGGAAATTTTATAATCTATCTGAATTAAACAGCAAAACAAATATTTTAAAATACCAAAAGGAAAATATTTGTTACACTGCAATGATTAGAGACAATATGAAAACTGAGCTTGTTTTTATACACTTTTACACAACAGTCTCTAAGCCAAAGTCTTCTGGGCAAGTTTTAGACTTTTTAAACTATTTATAAACTGAACAAACAAAGCTGCTCAAGCCCATTCACAATTGACTCCTCAGTTTCTTTTCAGTCCTGAAGAACAGCTCTTTTACAAATGCAGTTTATCTTCCATAGCCTGCAAGAGATGACATCAGCTGCTTACGTAGATGCCTAAACGTAAGCCTAAACAGTAGGACTCCAGAGTTCTGTTATGTTTATCTTGGACATTCAAACATTAAATGAACACTATTAATAGATAATTAAAAATATGAGAATTCCGTTCAATTCAAAAGACAATTGGTATTTTAAAATATTTGTTTTGCTGTTTAATTCAGATAGATTATAAAATTTCCTTGTTTTCTCTTTCATTGTTCAATCTTCACTTTATTTTAGTGAAAACATACCCTAATATTTATTCAGGATTCACCAAACTTACTATAGGATGAGCAAATCTTTGTAGTATTCCTTCTATTTTCAAATTTAAAATGAGACTTAAGTCTTAGTAACTTATTATTGATTTTAACAAATTCTATGCCTGTGCCTTATTTCAACAGCCCAAACCTGTAGGGGATATCATACCTGGACTGCATTTGTAGCAGATGTCTGTTTGAATTAGAGAATACCACATATAAACTGAAGAAGGGCTGGGAGGACTCTGTTCATGTAGAAAAGAATAAGCTAATTCCTATCATTGAATTTTAAGCTCTGTCTAAAACCATGTCATTATATCATTAGTGAGGTAAATATCCTACAGCCAAACTTTGATAAGCCAGAAAATGGTGATGTAATTTCTGCTTCATCTATTCCTCTATTTCTCTCTATTCCTCCAGCAGTCTAGATTTGTGTGAGAGCTACTGCCATTGTATCTACCTTGAAAGGCACACAAAAATACAATATATAAAGTCCATATATTGATATAGCTACCTGTCTGTGTATTACATAGAAATATATTATGTATTACATAATTATATTCAATAAAGGGGATGCATAGTATATATAGCATAGTTTATAATTCTAAAAATTATATATTCTAAAATTATGTAATAATATATGTTAAAATGCATCTAACTATGTCAGATTCCTATCTTACTACATTCACTAATTTTTCTGTGATTCAAATTGTGCCGTTTATTTCTTGAAACCAGTATAAATACTATAAATATAATTTATATTTATAATAACCAATGGCATGCAATCTATTAAGCCAACAAAAACAAAATGGTTAAAAGTCACAGTGATCCATGCAAAAAAATGAACAAACATTTCAAATTAGTATAAGCATATATTTCCCCAAGAGCAGTTCAGGGAACCATCAGGAATAAATCAGCCCATGTCCTGTTCTTGGCTCCAAGAGTGTGTGATCTTGAGAGAGACCACATCGTTACTATTAGCTTCAGTCCTCCTCAGGAAAATAGAGGTAATCAGGTATATGCTCCGAAACTTTTAAGTATTAAATCTTTTTAGGCATATATGCAGTAGACTCGATCAGAGCTTAGTGAGGAATCCCATCAGAGAGCAGTAACTGTCAAGGTTATTAATAAATTATTTTGACTCTAGCCAATTACTGACAGTTGAAAAATATGTCAGTTTTCAAAAAATCTAGTGCTACAAAGACCTAACGTCCATAATATGGAAGCTTACTATACAAATAAAATTGCATAGTAATAGTGGGAAAATATTTGTGTGTCCTTATCTCATTTTCTGTTAGACCGATATTTTTTCCCATGGGTTGAATGGCTATGAGAAGAAAAATATATATTTAATATATCTCCAGACATATGTAATAACTTTCCTCTTTTGATTCTTATTCCCATTCTTTCTTGATTGCTTCAACCATTTGTTTTATAATGTCTCTCACTTCCTGCATTACTCTAATAGGAAGTTATTTCAACTTACATAAATTTTTAAAGAACTTCAAATACTGGTGCTCAGTACTTCAGTACTGCTTATATTGACATTGTTGTAGGTCATAAAATAGAAAAGGAAATAATGCATGGGAACAACGTAACAACAAAACCTATTTACATTTTCTATTTCCAGATGCCATGGAAATGCAAAAAAGAGAAGAACCTGAATTAGAATCGAAAGTGTGAGAATGCTTGCTCCTGTGATTTAGAATCCAGCTTAAACATGACTCCAACGATAAGGTAAGCTGCAAATCAGTAATAAATTCTAAAGATTTTTAAGATCAAAATTAATTTTCTTTTTGTCTGTTATTTACTGTTCCAAGGAACTCAATACTAAATCTTTGTTTTATTTTTACTCAAAATACTCAAAGTACAAGAACAGTGCCAATAATTCCCATGTATCCCTCACCAGTAGACCTCATTGAAGTTTCACCACTCTTCAATTATATATTTAAAGCCAAAGAATCCAATCTTGAATCATTCCACTTTACTGTCATTTCTCTTCAGTATCCTCACTTGAACATTTCTTTAGCTAGCACATGATACCAAACTGCCTGTCAAAGTCACTTTAACTGATCACTTGAATAAAGGTGGCAGACTTCTCTCATGAGAACTAGTTCTTTCACCTTTGTAAATTTTAACTATTTTGGAAGACCTAATTTGAGACTATGTTAATATCCTAATCCTATTCAAAACCATTTATGCTCATTTTAGGGTTCTTTGATATTTGTTATTTGAGTCAATTATTAACATGATGGCTGCCAAGTGTTCATTTTCTAATTATATTATTCCTTCAAAATTCCTTAGTAATCATTCTATTTGAAGAAGGGCCCTCTGTTCATATTTATTAATTCATTCCTGAGTTCAACCTGTACCAATTTGTAGCTACTATTCTATGAGAACCTAACCTGAGTGGTCTCGCTGTCCATCCACAGCTCTGAATCCTTCTGAAAAGTTCCCTCCACTGGATCCTGCTCTCTTCCCTGTACCATGTTAGCCTACTAAAGTCAGTTTTTACTAGTGAAAGCTTGAAGTTGTAGGGTAGAAGTTCAGTCTGCCATAGCTTAAGGGGACAGACAGCCTGATTCTCTGTTCCTCTTCAGGCTGGCAGAGCTGTCTGCTGGGGCTCTGTTGGAGTCCAAATTTCCCCTCTCACCAACTCTCTTTCCACAGTAGTTGGTAGCAAGGCTGTGCCCTATAAATGTCCTGCAAGGTGATCTCACTCAGGGTGGGCTTCCTGGGTCCCCAATCTGTAACAGAGAACGTGTGTATTTAAAAATATTATTCCATTTTATAGTATTGGTGAAATACAGAAATAGATTGATAATAATTATCTACATGAACAAAGCTATAAAATCTGAAATAACAGGATTTGGAATAATTATTTCTATAATCTTGTAAAATTGAATGTAATGTAATATTGAATATATATGTATATATAATTAAATTTCCTCTAGCCTGACGGCCCCTAATGAAACTGACAATTATTTCTTTCATGGGTTGATTTAATAAAATATCACAGAAAGAACACACATATATGTGAAAATTAATACAAATGTTTCCTAAAAATTTAGGAGACAGCAGGCAATTTTGAGATTATCTTCTGATTTATAGCTACATTTTTAGCAGGAAGTCCTCTGGAGTCAGCCAGCTTGTCTGTGCCACTATTTGGGAAATATGTGTGACTTCAGGAAGTGACTGAAGTTTAGGAAGGTCTTTGAGTTTCTTAAGCAGGTTATAGTGACTGTCTCTTTAAATGGCAGTCAAAATTCATAAAAAGAACGCATGCAAAATGCTTGCAAAAGTATGTGGTAAGTGGTCAATGCTGCTACCTGGTTGTCTGAAGTGGTGCTCAGTCAAGTACAGGCTCTGTGCATTGGGTTCTCTCGCGTCACCAGCTATTCCAGAGGCAGCTCTGATGTAGTGCAAATAATACAGTACTTGGGGTGTGAAAAAATGTGCTGAGGATTTGGTTTTGTTCTTACTGTGCAGTTAATCTATAATATGACATTGGTGCATCATCTCCAGGCAGGATCCTGTTTTAAAGCCTTGATAGGTTAGTGCCTGGCAGAGCCCCTAACATCTGGCATGGTGGGCACTCAGTAAGTTGGACGATCAAAGTGAGGAGACAGAGCCTTGTCTCGGCATTCTCCTCACAAGGATGCCCATGAGTTGTTCAGATAGTGATGGTTCTGCTCACACCTTGGTGCTCACTTGTGTCTTTCACACACATTACTTCTGCATGTTCAGACTGGTTTCCATTGCTCACACGAGTCCTGGTCTAGTTTAACTCTGCATAGTCAAGAAGACATTTTAATTTATCAGAAATTACTCTAGCATAGTGGTTAAATGACAACATTTTCACAAACATATGTTCCCAGTTCTTAGCCTATTTCTGTTTCAGTGAGTTGATTCCTAAATACAGGGACAGCTGAAGGAGCCATGCCCTCCAAGAGGAACATCTTGCTAATGGCTTCCACTAAATCCAGTGGCAGCATGCCTACAAATAAAGCTTAATGCCTTCTATGACTGAAGTGGGAATTTTATAATCCTCAGTGGCTTTTGGTTGGCAATGAAAAACTTTTACTTATATGTGCAGAGAAGTGTATCTTGAAATATTAACACACACACTGTGTGTGTGTGTTTCCGGTAGTCATTCAGCATCATGAACACTGGGGAAAAATTACAGTCATTAACATAGACATGATAAAAATGCCAAAAAATGCCTCCAAGCCAAAAACATAGAATCTTATATTTTGCTCTTTATAGTCAAAAGATTCTAAAAAAAAAAAAAAAAAAAAAAACTATGGATTTTTTTGGTTAAGTAGTAATAGATTAAAAAAAAAAAAAAAGGGGGGATTGCAAAATCACCTGTACTGCTCCTTAGGAAGGTGATATGTAGGTCACTTGAAAGAGAAATGATCTCCTTACAAGACATTAAAAGACTGGCTTTGGATGGGACCTGGAGAAAGGAATGGGGGGCACAGTGAGAACCTTCTTTTGCCATCCTGAAGGAGCAAGTCTAAACAAAGCTGAACAGGGCTGCAGTTATCATTCTCACTTTCATTGCCAGTGTTGAGAGACTTCAAGTCCCTCTTAGTTGCCTTCGTCTGGTTGCCCAGCAAAAGGAGAATGAGCCCTAACATTATCTGATCCCTCCTTGGTATCTCACAAAGATCACACACATCTACAGTTGTTATCCTTACTCTGTCGGGACCTATGTCCCAAAACAACAGAAATTTCTTGTTACCTTAGTGGTCCAAGTAGGGGAGAAAGACCAGCGTGAGCCTAAAACAGGACAGTCGGCCAATTGCTGCACATTTCAAATGTGTCTATAAGAATCTCTCATTATTCAGCTTTGACCTCAAAAAATTGGACCAGTAGCAGTTAGTAGAAAAATTATTCAAGCATTGCTGTCCAAAGTCGTACTCTGCCAAATTCTTTCATATGTACTTATTTGTAAGATGTTTAGTAGAGATAGCACTATAAAGAAAAAACATGTATTTCTCGAACTATTGTTAATTAATACACAGTTGGTGTGACCTTGGCTAAATTCCTTAAATAATTTCTTATTCTTAAATTATTGAGATTGTGGGGCACAGGTGGAAGTCGTGATAAGGTAAAATAGCCTGTACAATTTTATAATAGACTGTATTCATATTCAGGATGTAATATTTGTAGGGCATTATAAGATGTTAAATTATATTAATAATGTAATTTAAGAAACAAAAGTATATATTTTATTTTATAGCATCTTAGAAAGTATGAAACTTGAGAAACAGTCTGCAAATACATAAAACAATAAAAGCTATTTGTCTTTAATAACTTGAATCAAAAACATTCCTTGTTGAAAAAACACATTGCGATATTGGTGATTATAGCTGCTTTAAATGAACCGCGTGAAGTGTATCCTGTGCAGTATTTCTTGATTTAGTCAACGAATTTCAGTGAAATATTTAGTCTGCCCATATGTCCTGAACTGTTCATTTCCTGTTACTTTGCTGGAGGCAGAAGCCAAAGCCTTTCAGTTTTCCTGACTTTATTATACATCTGCTGGTTATTGCAATTTAAGCTGACTTAGTTCTTGATGACCGAAAGGTGACTTAGCATAGTTGTTTTTCCAAAAGACATTAGGAGCAGCACATGTTTTTAAGTTCATTCAATGTTGTTTTGAGACTTTTCCAATACCAATAATGGGAGCAAGCAAATATAAAAGGAGACACTTGTAGCCATAAGTTAATATAAACTTCTCTAGAGAAAAAGGACAGGACATGGCCTCAATTTAAAATTGCTTTGATTTTATATTTTATTAAAGTTATATTTCTACATTATATTTTGACTTGGATAGAAATTATCTCATGCTATATTTCAGAGCCTGTCACTCAACTGTTTATATCACCTCTGCAACATATCAAAACTTTCTTCAGGAAAATTCAATAGACTTTGAACATATTACCTACTTGTACATAGTTCCTTACATGAATTTGCTAAAAAGAACACCTAGTTACAACTGTATAAATGCATAACACTTAAAGGGAAGAAAGATCACTTTACATTGCATCTACTGTTGCATTGTATTTTAGCACATGATGATGATTTCATAAAAGGAAATGGAATAATTGTATATCTTCTAGACTAGTGAATTTATTCAAAATTCAGTTAAGAATTTTATACTTTTAACTACATTCTAAATTTTAAATGCACATCTTTTGTATGCATATATATGTTTTGCAGTGACAGTATGACCACTGTCGCCATTAATTATTGAGCAATATCTGCTCAATACAATGTTGATTCAGGTTACTTTTTAGAATACATATCCCCTGAAGACACTTAAAATAATAAAGGATTATCATCACTTTTCATTAGGGAAATGCAAATCAAAACTACACCTCATATCACAGAAAATGACCTATATCAAAAAGACCAGAAAATAACTCCTATCAAAAAGACAAACAAATGTTGAGGATGTGGGGGGAAAGTACCCTTGTATAATGTTGGCAGGAAAGTAGACTAGTCCAGTTCTTATTAATAAAACTATGGAGCTTCCACAAAATCTTAATACATGTGTCCAATGATTCAGCATTTCTACTCTTTGGTATCTATCCAAAGAAATAATAGTACCCCTATGGTCTTTGCGGCACTAGTTATAATAGTCAATATAAGAAAACAAATTAAGCATCCAAAGACAGATGACCTGATTATGTGGTATACATACACACAATGTGGTATACATACAC